AGAGAATCCTGGGGAGGGGGAGGGGCATCACTGTTTCCACAAAAATATTAGTATTAAAATAATAAGAAATGCTTAATGAGCACCAAATCAGCATAATTTCTGAAGGATCATGTGTAACTGAAGACTAGAGAGATGGCTGCTGAACATTCAGCTTAGCCATCAAAGAAATAAATGGCATTTCAGCCCTCTACGATCACCTTGGCAATTGAATCGCCATTGGCTAGTAAATTTTTTTTAGTTTACTCGCCAGACTGATAAATAAATGTGTGTGTATGTATATATATATATATATATGTATATGTGTGTTTGTTTGCACAGTTTTATAAATATCTGAAAGTACACTCTTAACATCAGTCAGTCAAGCATTATAATATGATAATCTTATTTAAATATTATTTAATGATAGAACTTTAATTAGAATTAAAACTTGATAACCATGTATGAATGCATATTAGTCATTTTAACTGAACTTCGGTTCTGGTGGTGGTACTTTTTTGGTCATTCAGTGTTTCTGTAAAAAAAAAAAAAATTGGGGGGGGAAACTAACAAAAATACTGATAAGATGATGATGATACGAATTCTACTAATAAGAACAATATAAAACGCACCAAGGATTAATGAGCTACTGGATTCATGAATATTAATCAGGTTGTGTGCATTTGCTCGAACTGATTTGCTGAAATCAAAACAGGGACAATAATAGGTGAGCACCAGCCAATGAGATTGCCGTTTGCGCATTAGTTGTGCCTAGAAAGCGGTAATTCTTAAAAGCTGAAGAATTCCAAAGGAACTCCGTTATTTTGACAGCAAAATACAACAAAGAATAACGTTTACATGTAGCGCGTCAATTCTCTATCGACCTCTCTCGCTGCGTGTGTGTGAAACAAAGTTATGGTGAGTCGTGTGACTTCACACTAGAGTTTATGGTACGTTAAATACAGGCGCGTTGCACATCCATTCAGATGAACTGAAAAACAGCACAGATCGCTTGGCGGAGACTAGAGTGAAACTCTGATGCGCTCAGTCAGAGAGTGTTCGGCGAGTGAAAATATATCTGAGCTAAACTTATACTTGGCCTCCAACTCACACACTGGCGAGTAAAATCTGAGAATTTATTAGCAATTGGCTAATATTAGACATCATTTAGTCGCCCAGAGTGAAGATTTAGTCACATATGCGAGTGATTTACTCGCAATGTAGAGGGTTGCATTTTAAAATGCATTAAAATAAAAATGCTATTTCAAATTGTAATATTTTACAACATTCCTGGTTTTACTGTATTTTTTTTTATCAAATAAGTGCTGTCTTGGTGAGCATAAGAGATGTTTTCAAAAACATAAAACCACTCACAAAAAAAAGTTTTGAATGGTAGTGTAGATAAAGTTTCAGAAAGCATCTTTACGTGGTCTTTATATAAATGTCCATCACCAATGTTGATTTGATTTTAAATTGCTGCCACATTTTTATATTGTCGTCACATTTGCAGCAATTTACGATGCAAAACAGGGTACAAAATATGGGGTTTATTGCTAAAAGTAATTAGTAGGGTGATAGGAGATGCAGTGTATATGTGCGCAGTACTGATGTATAGGACTAGACAGGCTGTGTGTGTATGATTGGAGTAGATGGTCCAGAACATGCAAGTAGATCTGTGAGATCCTGAGCAAGAGCTCTGATGTGGTGTTGTGGTTTAAGAGGCTGGAGCTGAGAACACGGCGATGAAAACCCTGAAGCCAAGAGAGCATGCGTGTTTGTGTGCTTCATGCATATCGGCCGTTAAGACACACAGCTACCTCAAGAACAGATCAAACATTACAACTTACAACTCATTACAACTTGACTGTTATGTAGCCGACTAGTTCTATCTCTTTTTGTCGCTATATTTCTCTCTCTCTCTCTCTCTCTCGCTCTCTCTCCTCTTCTATAATTTGTCAGCTCTGGAGGGCCTCTCTTTCTCTCTGTGAATGTAATTTTCTGTTTTGGGAGGTAAATCAAAGAGAAAATGAATGGAAGTACGCAGAGTGCAGCTGTTCTTGTTTTCATTTTTCCATTCACTCACCCGTTTTTCTCACAGACAGGCATGAACCATGTTCTCCGAGTAACACCTGAAATACTGACCCCTGAGGTGGTCTTATGCATGAGTGTGTGTTTGCGTGACACACATATTGCTTCAGAGAGTCAGTCTCTCAGCGCTCGAAGGAGAGAAGCACGGCCCAGTGTTCATTTCCTGCTGCACAGCTCACTGAGCCGAGTAGTGATGCGCGGATGGCGGTTATATCCGCGGGCGCTGCGGATAATCCGCGGATCGGGTGGGTCGGGTAATAAAAAAAATGCATTCTGATTATTTGGCGGGGGGTTGCGGGTGGATAAAAATAATAAAGATGCAAGTATATCTAAATCAGACAAAAATACAGGTGCGGGCGGTTGGCGGGTGGATCATTTATTTGAAGCTGCGGATTCGGGTGACGTTTTAGCTCATCCGCGCATCACTAGAGTGTGTGAATCTTTTTGCGCTGTTGACTCTTGAACTCATCCAAACAAGACATTCAAAGAAAGCCATTTTACTGTTTTCGAAATGTGGCCTGTGTTGTAAATCTATCTGGTCCTTTTTTTTCTGCCAGTTGTCCTCTTCCTTGTCTAGTGTGAGGCCAACAGGAGCCAGACAGGGAGCCAACAAAGCATATTTTCCATGCAGACAGCCTCTTTTGTGGCATGCGTTTGTGTGTTTGCATGTGCTATCCTTGTTTCTTTTTACAGGCCATTTTACAGTTTTCGAAATGTGGCCTGTGTTGTAAATCTATCTGGTCCTTTTTTTCTGCCAGTTGTCCTCTTCCTTGTCTAGTGTGAGGCCAACAGGAGCCAGACAGGGAGCCAACAAAGCATATTTTCCATGCAGACAGCCTCTTTTGTGGCATGCGTTTGTGTGTTTGCATGTGCTATCCTTGTTTCTTTTTACAGGTCTGTGTGTGAGTGGCTAAAAATATGTGTTGTTCCAGAAAGCCACCATGTTTGTGTGCATGTGCACTTAAAGGTTTGTGCGTGTCTGTTGGTGTTGTGTTAACTCCAGACTTTATGGATGACCTCGCTGTTTTTCTGACAGCCTGTGTAATTTAAGCTGCTCTCCATGCCCTGCGCTGCTGTCCCATAATGCTGTGAATTTGAGAAGCAAGGCCTTCCGCCTTCCACTCCGCCCTGTTGTACTCCAGCTCCGCCATTGATGTCTGAGGAACGCTGTTATTTTCTGGAGACCGCTGGGAAGTGTAGGCGTGTGAAAAGGAAACACTGCTTGGCACTGCATTCTTTCACATCCCGTCTGGTATATTTGGCCTGGCAGCCAATAATGGTCAGTTTACGCGTATCCTTTTGTAGGCTGCTGGGACATAAGATTAGATGTTGACTATTAAACTCAGCCTGTGTCCAGATGGTCGGCGGTTGGAAGAACAGTGTTGTAAAGTGACTGACTAAAAGTAGTGACACTACTTGCTTAACATTTATGAGTAGCGTGACAGCGTCTCGGCTGTTCCCAAAACAATGCAGCTTTGTGCAACAAGTGGTTTAGTGAGAGACAGTGCTGTTTTTTGATGTCACATTGCAGCTGAGGCCATAATCAAATTTGCTAAGTGAATCTATTTTAAACAGTTACTGTAAAAGAACTGCTTAAAAATAATTCCCGGATTTATGATTTGTGGGGGGGAAAAAAATTCCCGGATTTATGATTCATGGAAATGTTGTCATTGTGCAGCATTTTACATGTCTTTTTAGTGAAACCTTTGTTTAATGCTACTGTTTGTGACTATTTTAAAGAATTGGGGTAAGATTTTCTAATTTTCTATTTATTAAAGCATATACTGTAAGTACATTTATGATTTCAATACTCTGTTTGTAATATCATTATATACATTTCAAAAAAATGTTGCACATTTCAAAAGATACATTATTGTCCCTTTAAAAGTATACTTAGTACTTAGTATTCAGTTTTGCACAGAAATGAATAGCACTTACGGCGTGTTAAAATAATCAAGACACTTATTTATTTTAAATTCACCTTTAGTGTAACCCCTATATTTTGTACTTTTTTGTGGCTTGATTATAATTTAACTACTTAAAATTATTAGTATTTTAGCAGGGGAAGTGAACAAAAACATTAAAAAAGACAATGGGTCTTAATCACTAAGCATGCATATGCTGGAATTTGTGTGTGAAATTTATGTATGAATGTTTTCACGAACACATGCGAAATGTACAAGTCTTGCTGTGCAAATTCTCAGGCAAGAACGTGTCTTGAGAGTGAATAAAGGCTGTAAAGGAAATGTTGTGCAGAACGCCCCTTATTTAGAGATAGTTTAGGCATGTTTTACACCATTCACTAACATTAGTTGTATATTAGGCTGAAATTTATCGTGTTCTTCTGTTCATACAATAACTAAATCCATGCAGTTATTAGTAAATAACATCCAGTGAGGTCATCTTGCACTTTAAGTTAAGTTGTGTTGGTGTCTGAATCTGACAGCAGCTCTTAATAGTCATCCTATCTACCATTCTGGTTTTTTTTTGTGTGTGTATATAAGCATGCCAAAGATATTATGATGTGTTTATGCTTGTTGAAACATCACAGGCATACTAATGAAACTTTAGGGATTTGATTCACAGTTCCAGTTGTGATTCCTAGAAAAACAGGAAGTAGCCAGACAAAGGGAGGAAGTGAGGTGCAGCCTGGGAGAGGACCATATTTACAACCCTCAGTTTGACCCAGTGAGCATGCTGAAGTAAACCATGATGTTCTCATTATTATTATTATTATTTTATTAGTGTACAGATGTTTGAAGACTATAATAATGTGCCACTGGAGAATAATCTTTATAGCCCATCTGACATGCATCAGGTGTCTTGTGTTAGTTCAGATTTTCTGGGTCTTGTTTATATCTACCTATAGTTTCTCTTTGGGTATTGGCTATGTGCGTGTCTGGGTATGTAATGTGTTTCCTGTATTTCCTCTGCAGGTCTGTATGAGCTGTTGTCTGTACTGCCGTCTCAGCTGCAGCCTCATGTTGAAGGCGCAGATGACCGCTCTTTTCTACACGCTATGTTTGGGGAGAGGAGTCTACATTCATTGGTCAAGGTGAGTGTATGTGTGCAGTGTTAGAGACAGTCTATTCTTTAAGATGTGACGTAACGCACTGTCACTAAATCTCTCTCTCTTTCTCATTGCGTCTGTGATTGTGTTTTTAAAGAGAGTGTTGTGATGCTTGTACAGTTGGTTATTTAAGAAGTGGCGATCTAAAGGCACATCCAGAAAAATGTAAATCAGAGATTTATATTAAATGAGACTTGAAATAGCACGTAGGTTGTATGCCATGTTGATGCTAAATCCAAATCTGTGGTTTTAATTGTTTTTGTAATTTCAATTCTTCTCTCTCTTCTTATTTAAATTTATTATCTGGCTTGTCTTTTTGAGAGGTTTTCACATGCTACTTTTAGGAAATCAGTTTAGTCAGGTTGTGCTGTGCCTGTGTTTATCAGCTTTCACTTGCTTTTAATTTCAATTCCTTTGGTTTTATTCATTTCATTTTTCTTCCCCTAATTCTTTTTATGTCGCACACAGTGTTTTAATGGTCAATCACTGATGTCACTGATACTATGGTACTTGGGGCCCATTTGTGATACATAGTTCACTGACTGTATGTTCTGTTGTACACTGGATTCTAAGTGCTGTGGACTGAGCTGGCTTGTGCTTCAGAAGTGCTTTGTATAACCGTCTACCCGTACCCGCAGAGGCAGAGGAGGTCTGACAGGCAGGACAACAGACCACAGTCTGAGCCAAAGACCTCTGCTTTCTTCTCTCCATGCAATTAAAGCATGGTTTCACACATGTCCAGCTGCACTCTGTTCCTCTGCCAAGGTGCCACTCCTAAGAGCCTTACAGGAAATCTGACACAACCTGTAATTTCCACCTGTGTGTGTGTGTGTGTGTGTGTGTGTGTGTGTATATGTGTGTGTGTGTGTGTGTGTGTGTGTGTGTGTGTGTGTGTGTGTGACGAGAAAAAGATAAAGGCATTTTCCTTCAAAAAATTTTCTAGGGAGAAGTAAAATGCTCTTTCCCAAAAAGTTTTTTGTCTTTACTATAAAGTTTGATCAGATTAATTTTTTTATTGTATTATTTTTTTGTAAGGCAGCATTTACACTTTATGCAGCTATTTTATAAATTTTTTTCCCATATGGATTTTGTCAATTTTTTGGTGGTTCCCCCCACCACCAACACCTAATCCTCAGCTCGTAAACTTATCCCAGCTGTAAGATCAGCTGCTAATGTCTGTGGTTTTCACCTCTGTACATTTCTGTATTTGTCATAAGAGGAAACCAGATTCAGCACAGACTCCTGTATTCAGCCCTCAAGGGGGAACATCACACACCTGTGGGGCGATGGGGAAAGGTGAACTCCTCAGAGGAGTCTGAGGTTTAGGCCTGCAGTAGCATTACCTGTGTGTGGGACTTTAACAGCCTTATTTGCTCTCATTTACTAAAGCAGACATAATGGAGCACAAATGATTACTCTTTCCTGCTTTCCCACTCACAGCATGTATGAGGTGCCCAATCTGGCCTTGTGTGTTGTAGTTCCAGACCTGAAAAATGGGCCCCTTATCCAGAATCCAGTCATATCAGTGGCCAGGGAGCAGGGTAATGTCCTCACCATCCAAAGAAATGTTAGATTACCTTTGATCAGATCAAATTTCAGATTTTGTTGAGTATCATGGTCATGAACTAAAAAGGAACAATGACTGTATAACATAAATTTATAAATTAAAGTCTGTTTAAAGCCAGTGTGTGACTGCATAAAGTCACTTAATTGTGATGCTTTAAATACACTAAAAATCATGTCAAAAGTTTATCAGTAAGGATTTTTTTGTGAAAAATGTAAATGATAATGTTACAAAATATTTCAAATAAATGCTATGTTTTTGCTTTCTCTATTCATCAAACAATTCTTAAAGGGGTCATATGATGCTGCTAAAAAGAACTATTTTGTGTATTTGGTGTAATGAAATGTTTATGCGGTTTAAGGTTAAAAAAACACATTATTTTCCACATACTGTACATTATTGTTTCTCCTCTGTGCCCCGCCTTTCTGAAACGCGTCGATTTTTACAAAGCTCATCCGTCTGAAAAGCAAGGTGTGCTGTGATTGGGTTCCACAGTGCAAAGTTGTTGTATTTCCTCCGCAACCAGCATGGATCAGCTCCAGGGATGACGAAGCAGATATCGTCCTCTTTTGGAAGGCCATACAAAGTAGTTTCGCTTTCACAACGAAACACACAGT